ATATGAAGTAGGTTTTTACTGTAGACAGTGGGTAATTTAAACATTCTTCTGGGGTATTTCTGCCTCCCTCACGTACAATGGAGAACTGATGTGTTCCCAGGAAGCTGACTAAAGCAGTCAGGCTGTGATTGGACTCTATCTCCTCATCATAAACATCCTGGAAGGGGAAGTGAAAGGTTCGCCTTCCATTTGTGAGAATGAGCATGCGGCCTATCCAGATCATCGCCTTAACCTTTTATTCCAGTTATTCTACACGGGTGTCTCACGTGTGTGTTTCTGTCACTCCCTGTTCTTTTCTGAAACGCTGTGCAGCAGGCTTCCCGTAAATCACGTCTTCAAACTCGAGTGTCTCAGAATCACCTGTTGGACTTGTTAAAATACCAGTTTCCAAGCCGCATGCCCAGAAATTCTAATTTCTTAGGTTGACGTTGGAGGTAATTGGCTGAAAACACTGTAAGATGCACTGGAAATGGATGATCACCAAAGAGTGTTTCAGTTTCATGATTTTTAAAACCTTTTCTGAGATGGGATGAAATAGTTTATCCTAAAGGGATTTCTAAAACTGTCTATCACGTGGCCTCTATTATGTATTCCAAGTCTTATTCAGGACTAGTAGTTTGTTCCCCTGGGGCTGCTTTTCGTGGGCTCTCAGTGGAGTTAGAACTTGAGTCCCAGTCCTTCTACCATGACTGAAGACTCAGATTTCAAAACCATTCTCCTCTCACCAGTTGAGCTGATGCTGGCCAAACATCCATAGCTAACAGAACCTTTTCCCCTGTGTTCATCTGTTGACAATTGTGTGGACAATTAATTTATCCAGTAGAAAACAAATATTTAAACCCAACTTATCATTAAATGACACTTTGGTCAGTTTGTATATTGCTATCATGTTTTGGTTGTGTGCACCTTACTTTTGCACAACCCTTTCCATGCTTTGAAGGAAAAATATGAAAACCTCCAAGTAGGTAGAAAATTAGAAAATGGTTTCTTTTTAGTAAAATGTATCTCCAATTTACATCCTTAGCCCTGCATTTGCCCTGAGAAAAGAAATTCATCGGTAGCTCAGAAAGACAGCAGAACTGTTGGGGACATTTTCTTCTAAGTGTTTCTGCTTACTTCTTATTTCTTCCCTTTATTTTTTTTAATTTTTTGTTTATTGCAGTAACATTGGTTTATAACATTGTAAAAATTTCAGGTGTACATCATTGTACTTCTATTTCTGCCTGGACTACATCATGTTCACCACCAAAATACTAATTACAACCCATCACCACACACATGTACCGAATTATCCCTTTCACCCTCCTCCCTCCCCCCTTACCCTCTGGTAACCACCAATCCAATCTTTGTCCCTATGTTTGTTTATTGTTGTTATTATCTACTACTTAATGAAGAAAATCATACGGTATTTGACCTTCTCCCTCTGACTTATTACACTTTGCATTATACCCTCAATGTCCATCCATGTTGTCACAAATGGCTGGATTTCGTCGTTTCTTGTGGCTGAGTAGTATTCCATTGTGTATATATACCACAGCTTCTTTATCCATTCGTCCCTTGATGGGCACTTAGGTTGCTTCCAAGTCTTGGCTATCGTGAATAAGGCTGCAATGAACACAGGGGTGCATGTACCTTTGCAAATTGGTGTTTTCAAGTTCTTTGGATAAACATCCAACAGTGGAATAGCTGGATCATATGGTAGTTCTATCGTTGATTTTTTGAGGAATCTCCATACTGTTTTCCATAGCGGCTGCACCAGTTTGCACTCCCACCAGCAGTGTATGAGAGTTCCCTTCTCTCCACATCCTCTCCAACACATGTTGTTTCCTGTCTTGTTAATTATAGCCATTCTGACGGGTGTGAGGTGATATCTCATTGTAGTTTTGATTTGCATTTCCCTGATAGTTAGTGATTTTGAACATCTTTTCATGTGTCTGTTGGCCATCTGTATATCTTCTTTGGAGAAATGTCTGTTCAGGTCTTTTGCCCATTTTTTAATTGGGTTGGTAGTTTTTTTGTTGTTGAGATGCATGAGTTCTTTATATATTTTGGAGATTAAGCCCTTATCAGAAGTATGCTCTTATGCAATATGGAGAGAGGAGAGTCTTTTCCATTACACAGCAGGAATGGAATGTTACGCTTCCCGGTGCCTCACAAGTTTCCTTCTATAGATTTGGAGGTGATTTGCCTTTATCCCAGCTTTCTTATGTTCTTCAATCCACATTCACACTTTTCAGAGAGATTCGGGTAACAATAATATAATACACCAGGAAGAAGAAATTAAAGGAATCTGTGATCACTTTTGACTATGTTGTAATATCATCTTGAAGAATGGAGATAATCTGTGACCCCAGAACATTGATTAGAAACTTAAGTGAAATTCACCATCCTGTGGGTGGTATTTTAATGATATCCTGTTGTGATTATAAGTGAATGTGCCCAAATAGTGTCTCCTTTGATTCTACCAGCTTTTCCCTGGAGCAGAAGAAAATCTTCCCAAATCATATTTTCTGTCAAAGTAGTTTTGTCAGAGCAATGCCAATTCTAGCTTGAAATCTCCTAAAATGATTGTCACTTAATATATGGTTAGACTATGTACATTTCAAAAGCCTAACAAATTAAAAAGTGGTATCTGATTAATCTGCATACATTCTAAAGAGTATATCTGAATAGTATTATCAGGAAGCCAGATGATGCATTTTAGGTAATAAATCCACTTTATTTGTGCCTCCGATATTAATTGAAATCATTGTGGTGAGCCAGCCCTTTCTTTTTCCAAATTAGTTTTTATTGATTAATTAAAAAGAAAGAATCCAAAACTCTAAAACACTTAACACTAAGGAGTTCACCTTTCGAATATCTAGTCTCGAGTTAACATGGGCTAACGTGCGAACCTAAGTACTTCCCAGATCTTCTTGGAGATGTTAGTAAACATGGCATCAGAAAGAGGGTTCTGTGGCCAACTGGTTGGGATGGTTTGCACATCACTGCGCCTCCCTGAGATTCCAGCATCCAGTAGTGTATGCAGAGCTCTCTGAAAGCTCGCATTATATGTGCCCATGTAACTCAGCATTTCTCAAGCTTATTTCAGCTCTTTACCTCTGGTGGTCTTCCTCCTAAAAACACGTAACCCAAAAGGGCCATCCTACAGTTTTCCTGACCAGTACTTCTCAAGGTCGTCAAAAAAAGGAAAGTCTGAGAAACTCTCACAACCAACAGGAACCTTAAAGAGACATGAAAACTAACTGTAATGTAGTATCTTGGGTGGGACTCTGAAACAAAAAAAAAAAGGACATGAGGTAAAAACTAAGGTAATCTAAATAAGCTGTGGACTTTAGTTAATGATAATGTATCAATATTGTTTCATTAATTATAAAAAATGTACCATACTAATGTAAGATGTTAATAACAGGGGAAATTGTGTGCAGGGGTACATGGGAACTCTCTGTACTATCTGCTCAATTTTTCTCTAAAACTAGTCTAAAAATATAAAGCCTATTAATTTTAAAAAAAGCAACATTAACAAGGCATGTACTTCTTTATGTGAAACTTTTTCTGTTTATAAGTGCTTACTCTGCATGCAAAATAGATTGGACCGTACAAGAATATGGAAATTTTAAGTAAGCTGTTCTGATAAAGGAAGAGTAAGGTGTGAAAGCATGGAAAGATAAGGATGCTGAGCCAAGAGTCTCACTATCAATAAAATATTGTGATCTAGAAGGTCACAATTTGAATTTAGACAATTTCTTCAGTCCAAGAGACACATGAAGATGACACAGCAACTCAGAAGAAACACAATCCTTAGACTCCTGAATTAGATCCTTTGATATTTGCATGGAAGACAATGGCAGAACGGAACCTAGAACATTGCAGAATCACCTTTACAAAAGATGGAGCTGAGTTTTCACACGTACACATGGAGTGGTTAATTCTGAGAATGTACCTCTCCATTCAGGCTCTCGTGTCGCAGACATTTGCCGTGTCTGATTTGGACCGTTCGTTCAGTCCTATACAGTATCTGGGAACAGGTTTGCAAGTAATTCTCATCGTTGTACTTATCTAGTGTTCAGGCCCTATGCCAACATAGGTGCCAACAATCCAGAAAACAATCCATTGCATGCTAACAATCCCGGAAAAACTACTTAAAATACTTTATATGTAATCACTGGTGATATAATGTCTGGGGCTAGAGTTATAGTAACAATAACAAAGGTGGTGACCACTATTTATTGAACACTCCAGGGACTGTGCTGAGCCCTTCATTTTATTCTGCTTAAACTTTGTAACAAACCAGTAAACTCGGCATCGCTGTCCTCGTCTTACAGCTGAGGAAACGCTGCTGTGCACACAGTTCCGTGCATGTCGTCAGTGATGTTGGAATGCTCCTTGGTTTATTCACAAGCCCTTCAGTCGATGTCTTAAAAGCTAAACTCCTTTTAATACACAGTGTCTGGAAGAGCATATCCACGTCTGGTTTGAATTGAACACCCTCGAAACTGAAAGGACTAATATGTTGGCTGTTGTCTTTTCTAGGTTTCACTGAGAGTTGTGTTTTTAAAAGAGTACTTGGAGTAATTTCCCCTAACTCAATATTTCCCCTCAGCCATTCCTTTTCTCACCTTTTCCGCCCTAATTTCCTCATACTGCAGGTTTTCCCTATGCTGAAGGATTCCTTGACTATACGGTTTAGTCAATATCATGTCAATGACAGGTCGTTAAAGTGTGACCTTAGATGCCAAACACTAGTTTTTTTTTTAAAGAGTTATGTGTAGATTGATGATGGTCTTCTATTAAAAGAATAGATATGCCAGAAAAGACCTACAAAAACCAAGGTGTTAACAATGGCTGCCTCTTGATATTAAAAGTGGGTTTATTGAACATATTTTTTTGACCATAGCTAACCACTGAGTTTACTATAAATTTGCCCTATATTGGTGCTACTAATATCAGATCAGATTTCCCCAAAGTGATGGCTACTGTTTTTCCTTTTCCAATCACAGGATAGGTCACAGGGCATTGAAGAATGGCGGATGATCGGAAAGATGAAGCAAAGGCACCTCACTGGACCTCAGCTCAACTCACAGAGGCATCTGCACACCCACATACACCTGAGATTAAGGATCAAGGCGGGGCAGGGGAAGGGCTTGTCCGAAGCGCCAACGGATTCCCATACAGGGAGGATGAAGAGGGCGCCTTTGGAGAGCATGGGTCACAGGGCGCCTATTCAAATACCAAAGAGAATGGGATCAACGGAGAGCTGACCTCAGCCGACAGAGAAACAGCAGGTAACCAAGGGGTCTTCTGTCCCCAGTGCCTGCTTTGTGCTTTGAAGTCTGTTTAGTCTGAAAGTGAGTTAATTTACAGCGCTGGTACTCTTTCCCTGGTGCTGGGACTGAAACTCCAGTCAGTCAGGGAAATAGACACCAAAAGGAGAGAAAAATCAGGGGAACTAGGCTGACATTCCCCCAAGTTAGTTGTGGGAATTCTCAATCCCATCTCCCTATTTGTTTTTTACCACTTTAATTTTAATAGACAGACAAATGGCTCAGTGTCTGTGTGTTTTGCTAGAAAATGTCATTATCAAAAGAAAACTTCACAAATAGTTTCATATTGATTCTCTGGAATGACATTGGACCTAAATCCAATTGATTGATTAGAAACATATTTACTTTTTAGGGCAGAAAAGAATGTAGAGTCTGTCTCCCAGCCTTCAAAAAGAGAAAGAAAAGAAAGAAAACAAACACACACACATGCACAGGAACCATTTCATACTTCCTCAGATAGCTTATTAAGAACTAATATTCGATGCTTGAAGGAGAACAATATAATTTACTCTTAGGTACTTCCTTTCAAGGTATGATTTCTACCAATAGTCCTCTTTACTCTATCATTGATAATATTGTCATTAAGGGAAGAGTCATTATATATATTAATGGCATAGAGAAACATTAGACTGCACTATAATATTCTTCACCATTTTCCTTTTTTCTGTAGTTCAGAATTTAATGCATTTGAACACAATAACTTGCAGACATGCTACTCCAAAAAGCATAAGTAAACTACGAGTAGTAAAAAAGGCTATTCCCCCTTCAAAATCATCCCTTGCTTATTCAAAGATTGGTTTTCTACACTCCATCAATTAGTCAGCAACACTTATTGACTATAGTCTCTGTTCAAAAAATGTGTTTGAATTTTAATGGGGAAATATGAAAGACATTTCAAATGACTGAGGAGATATTACATAAGTACATAGTGTAATTTTTTAAAAAATCCACTCATCCAACAAACTACTATTGGCATTTTCTACATACAGGGTGTCGTGTTAGCTTCTGTGCCAGGGCCAGTGCAAGGAATGGTTTTTGAACTTCATGGAGCAGATGATCTAGTAGCAGATATCAGACCTGTGCGTACAATTAATTCAGATACAAAATACAATGCATTAAGTGCCACATGTGCAGTGTAGAAGGGCAGAGTTGAAGAGGGGTTGTTTCTGTCTAGGGCCAAAGTTCCCAAATTGTGCACAGAAGCATCTCAAGGGGGCACAGCAAATTTACAGGAGTGTGGCAGAGTATTTTCAATACTCAAAGGAAACACAGTGATACTCAACATCTGTCAACCATTGCATGAACTGTTAGCTCTAGATAGTTCACAGTTTCAACGTTAGATCACACCACATTCCGTTTCAAGAGGTCATATCTTGCTGAAGTTGGGTTTTCTGCACTTGCTGTAATAGAAAGCAAGTACCCTGCAGAAATCCATGTGGAACAGGAAAAGAGGGTGGCAGTGTCCAGTCTAATTCAAGGATTTGAGAAATTGTGCAGTGCCCAATGGGTACATACATCCCATTAGTAAGAAATTGTGGTTAAGAATGAAATAAAAGTATTATTTTTACCTTTCATGGTTACAATGAGGATTAAAAGAGTCAAGTGTACAAAGTAAATGGCTCAAGAAATAGTAGCTGTTAATTACCACTATTATTATTATTGGTGGTGGCAGTGGTATCAGTATGGACAAACAGGGCACTCTTGATCTAGGAGTGTTCTTCTACAGCCGAGTATAATACAACTTGAAGAGCATGGGGCTTTGGTGCCAGGAGCACTAACTAGGAAGATTTTGAAGGGATTGAGATGTGAGGAGATGAGGACATGTTAGAGCAAAAGGAAAGACGCAATGTAGACCAAGATCTTCTCATCATCCTATCCCGCAGCACCTCACATTCCTCTTCAAGGACTCAGTAAGTGCATGTTGAGTGAGTGAATGAATGAATGAATAAATGCAAAAAGAAGAAAGAAAGTCCTTTTCAAATTAACGGTGAAAACTGTTGAAAAGTCTTCCTTTGTCTCTTGGACTCTCACCAGTTGACCCTCACTGACTATTATGGGGGTTTATAATACATTCACGAAAAAAATTACTATAGCATGCTTGGTCAAGCGGTGGAGAACAAGCATCACTCACTATTTCATTTTTTCAATGGTCTTAATTATTTAAGAGCATCAGAAAAATCTGTTTACCAGGTCAGAGTGTCCTTGCCAGCTTCTTTGAAAATATATAAATTAAAAAGAGACTAACAGATGTTTCCTTTACTTTATGGGTTTAGGACCATCCAGAGTTAATTTTGATTTCAGCTCTGCATATATCAAATGAATCTTATATTACCTTTGGGAGACTGATTATGAAAGTTTTATGTATATGTTCATAGTGGCAGAGGTTGTAAACAGCCATCTGTGAGTTATCTGAGTGATGTGTTCAGTCCAGACTATGGTGTGGTTTTAAACTAACCGCCCTCCAGAAGTAACAGGCCAAGTACTGAATCCATCAAATATCCATGTGTGGAAAGCTGTAGGAAAGGAAATATGTCAAGTATTGTCACCTCATAGAGGAGGATGTTCAGTGAAAAGTCAATGTGCAAGTACATTTCTCTCCAAGCTTTAGCTTAATAAAATAATAAATTTTATTATTGATAGTTTATATATACTGTTTCACAAATTACAAACAGAAATCATCCCAGTAAGAAGTGTTCTTAAATCTCAAATATGGTCTTTAAAAACGCTATCCTTTGATGATGGAGACCATTGACATGAGCTGGCATTGTATTTTGGGGTGGTGATTTTAAAGAGGACGAGGGAGGTATCTGCTCTCCCGCTGTTTCATCATCCACGTATTGTCTATCAGCATGTCGCATTTTCCCCCATAAAGGCTATTTCTCAGGACATTGTTAGCCTGAGCCTTTCCCGTGACATCAGGTCCTCAGCTTTATGTTGTGGGGGCCAGGCCATTACTGGCTGAATCCAAAGATCTTTCTCCTACTTTCCTTCTTTGCTGTAGTCCTCTCTTCATTTTTAGAAATACATGTTTTCTCCAAGATTGTTTATTTTTATTCATCTCTATAAACAAGATCACATGATAAATGAACCGCGACCATCACGTCTCCCCCCTCCTTCCTTCATCAGAGTGGGCTTACTTCAACCAAAAGTCTTACCTCACTCTCTCTATCCACCCTTTTAAATGTCGCCTTCATTTCTGGGCCATAATAATGTTTAATTTTTAAAGATGCAAGCCCTTAGTCAGCTTGTCTTCAGTCTCATGCACTGAGACTGGGAGTGGGGATAGGTAGGGAATGCTAGCAGGCAATCATATTTTAAATTGTATTTATCCACAGCTTGCTCTTCTAGATTTTGTCTTTTTTCTTGCAATTTAAAGACAACCCTTAGAAAGGTAGATAGAATTATTTACTCACCTATTATAGCATAACTTTTGATACTTTAAGAATTTTTCATACATTTACTCATTAAAGTATCCTTTTTAGAAGCCGTGTCACAGAAGGCTGAGAAAAGAAATGAGAAATCATTGAGAATCGAGCCACTTAGGAAACTTATTGTTATGATAAGGATAATGCAGCCATTTTTTAAAGTATTTTATTGAGGTCATAATGGTTTATAACACTGTGAAATTTCAGTTGTACATTATTATTTATAGTCTGTATAGACTGCATCGTGCTCACCACCAAAAGTCTAATTTTTATCCGTCACTATATATATGTGCCCCTTTACTCCTTTCACCCACCAAAATGGGCAACCCCAAACCCCTTCCCCTCTGGTAACCACTAATCTGTTCTCTTTATCCATGTGTTTGTTATCTTCCACATATGAGTGAAATTATGCAGTGTTTGTCTTTCTCTGTCTGCCTTATTTTGCTTAACATAATACCCTCAGTGTCCATCCATGTTGTTGCAAATGGGACGATTGTCTTTTTTATGGCTGAGTAGTATTCCATTGTGTGTATGTATATATATATATATATATATATATATATACCACATCATCTTTAACCATTCAACAGTTGATGAGCACTTGTGTTGCTTCCACATCTTGGCTATTGTGAATAATGCTGCAGTGAACATAGGGATGCATAAGTCTCTTCGAATTGTTGATTTCAAGTTCTTTCAATAAATACCCAGTAGTGGGATAGCTGGATCATATGGTATTTCTATTTTTAATTTTTTAAGAAATCTCCATACCGTTTTCCATAGTGGCTGCACCAGCTTGCACTCCCACCAGCAGTGTATGAGGGTTCCCCTTTCTCCACATTCTTTCCAACACTTGTTGATTTTTTTCTTGGTGATTATAGCCATTCTAACGGGTGTAAAGTGATATGTCATTGTAGTTTTGATTTGCATTTCCCTGATGATTAGTGATGTTGAACATCTTTTCATGGGCTGTTGGCCATCTGCGTATCTTCTTTGGAAAAATATCTGTTCATATCCTCTGCCCATTTTTTAATTGGGTTGTTTGGTTTTTTTGCTGTTGAGTTGTATGAGTTCTTTATATATTTTGGAGTTCTTTATATATTAACCCCTTGTTGGATATATGATTTGCAAATATTTTCTCCCATTTGGTGAGTTGTAAAGCTGCCATCTTTAAACTGTTTTCTAAAGCATCAATAATCAGAACAAAGGCTTGTAATAAACCCTTCCTCTCTTTTCCACCTTATCTTTATTGAAGAAAGCAACAAGAGTGCATTTTAATCCCTACCAAGTTCCAACTCTCAGTGAAAATTAGGAACCTCATCCTTAGGTTTTTTATCCGAGGGCGGGGCCCAAACTCACATTAGAATTCATATCAAGATAACATCAAGATACCTGGAAGGGACCAGGAAGATGACCTTTCACAGTCCACCTCTTTACAGCTTTAGTTATCCATCCAAGATCATATGACTACTACCAGAATGCAGGTCTCTTGCTGTATAGACCAGTGCTCTTTCCACTACCCCACACCACCAGATTCAG